GACACTTTCCTCACTGCCCGGACACCGTGCAGCTCCCATCACGAAGCCAGATCGATCACTACACGCACCACAGTCTCGAGTCGCAATGCGCTAGAGTGTATTCACTCTATTGATTCTAATCGACACCTCAGTTTCATTTAGGACCGCCGAGCGGTGTTTCAGGCCTCAATGGCCTCCTCCCAGTCGTTCTCCAAACCTTTCCAGAAGATCCTGGACCCAACTAAGATCGGAACCTGGAATGTCGTCCGTCGTCCACCGATCGAAAACCACAGTATTATTCAGGGAAAGGCCCGGGAACAAAACTCGAACGCCTTCAAGACACATCAGTGGAAGGAGGGAGTGCGGTTAAGAAAGGCGCTCAATGCCATCTCCCACGGCAAGAATATCTTCGTCTACCACAACATCCGCACTAACCAGGTGGTATACTCGTTGACAAGATATCTGGAGGTGCGTACCCTCATCATCAACTTGTCAGAGTTCGTCCTTCTAACATTTTTCTTGCAAACGTAGAAAAACAATGTCCTCCGCCAACTCATCTACCACGGCAAAAAGACTGTTCCCGCAACCCTTCGAAAAGACATGTGGGTGCCCTACTACTCAGTGCACTTCACCGACTCCAAGATCGGTCTGCGAGCCTACCACCTCCTCCGAGAATTCTCCATGCAGCGCCAGCTCGCTCCCCCCCGCGAAATGATCACCATCACCGAACAATTCCTTGCCCAGAAGCGGCCCCGCAACCCGGAAGAAGCGAAGAAATTCGACGAGAAATATGCCGATAAGGTCGGCTGGCTGATGGAGAAGAAAGACCGGGCCCGTGCAGTCATGGATCAAAAGGCAACCAGCGTTGCGGACATCGCGGCCGTGCTCTCCATCCAGGAGGATGAGATCGCGAATGGCTTTGCAGATGGCAAGAGGGGATACCTGGCTCCGGCTGCTCGGAGACGGAGAAGGGAGGCGAGGAAGAAGGAACAAGAGAAATCTGCCGAGCAAGCTGAGCGTGTGGCTGCTTTCGCGCAGACCCTGAGCACGCCGGAGGTCGACTACACGATCCAGGACCCTAATGAGGACGCGGAACTCTTGGGAGACAACGGTGTCAAGATCCTCTGGTCTGATATCCACGACGCTCGCTTTGCGGAGAGATGGCCTGATCGTGTCTGGCATGGCGAGTTGGATCTGAGCCGCGACCATGTTATGCCCGCTGAGAAGCACATCCCCGGCAAGAAGGATGTGCTGGCGAGCGACCAATTCAAAGAGAAGCAGGCTTAGATGAAGAGCGACGCGTTCAATTGTATGTAGGAATCGGCGATGGATTGGGCTGTGGATATTCGCATCTCTCCAACGTGACTTTGCACTTGGCACTATACAACTGTACTTTTAGATACTACTTTACTTTTGTGCTTGGGAATGATGATGGCGTTTAGCAGACAGAATTTGATTTCACCCGATAACCCAGTAACCTGCTGGCAAGACCGCAGGGAAAGGTACTGCTTGCGGGACTGGTAATCTGAGTAGATCAGAATGGCATATGGAATTTATATCTGAGCGATATGGCGATACAAAGTGCAGGATTGTGCTTGCATGGAAATGAGAAAACCAGGTCAAGCTCCGCTATCCCCGGTTGCGAAGTGAAAGATCCCAGATAGGCAGCAAAAGTGATAAGATAGAATATGAGAACGAGAGATATGGAGAGTGGTCAAGCCACTGGGGCACAGGTCATCTGGATTCTGGAGCGATTGCACACTCAAACCAACCAACACCAGTGACTAGCAAAAACGGAGCAGTATAACAAGAGAGCAAGACGACGCTTTGTTGATTGCGTCCAAAAATGCCAGGCATAGAGAACTTTCTATCACGTCGTCGGACGAAGCCATTTCGGTTCTGTAGTGCGCGAAATCGCATCGCACTTAAGTACTTCCATTAATCGACTCAACCTTATTCGGCGAAGTCGCCTCAATAGGGACGTCAGGCCCTGGCCCATCATCAGTCATCTTCTGTAAAACCTCATCCATGACTTTCTCTGCTGGTTCAGCATCATCGGTGATTTCTGTATTGGCCATGCTCTTTCTGGCCCCCTCGACAATCTTATCAGCCTCGCTCACTCCGTATCCCGCATGCGTGGCTGGATCACCGTCGACTCCGATCGGGTCGACCGTGCGGTTGACGACCTCCTTGACGCGGTTGTTGTCAAACCGAATCACCATGCAAGAGAGGTTATCAGTGCTGAAGCGAGCAAGGGCATGGTCAACCAGCATTTTTGAGGCTTCCTGAGCATCCTGTATATTCCGTATCAGATCTACCGCCTCTTGGTCGCTACATACGTCCCACAACTGTTGAAACATTAGCCTAAATAAGAGCCAGTAAAGAGAAAGAACGCTCACCCCGTCGCAAGCCAGAATGATGAACTCATCCTGATCGGGTTGGATGACTGTCTCTGTAGTATATGGGTGGCCAGTCACAAGGTCTTTGAGATAAGCATCACCAAGAGCTCGTGTGACGGCAAGAACGCCGTTCACTCGGTTGTTAAGTATCAATCCTCCAGCGTTGGCGATCCGTTTCCCCTCATTTTCGTCGCTGCCTTTGTGGTCGTACGATAAGCGTAGCGCTTTACCGTTGCGACATAGAATGATGCGAGCGTCGCCAACATTCGCAGTATAGAGAACTCGTTGACGGGCGGCTTTCTCTTGCAGTACCGGAAGCACAGACACAGGTGCCGATTCAGTTGGGGTGTTGTCGGCTTCCGAGTTGGGTTCGGCGGCAGCGGCAGCGGCCGGAGCCAATGCAGAAGAGCCGGTCACGGAATGAGAACTAGGGACTCTGTCCTCCCACCGTAGAAGAGCAATAACAGCGGTACAACCGCTGTTTTTCAACGGCAGCTTCTCCAGCTGCTGGTCGACAGAAGTGAAAGTCTGGTCAAGCAACTCCGGAACCGGAGTGTTGGGGTTTTTCCGCATGACCTCCTCCAGAATCAGATGCAGCTTCTTGCCACACCACTCGGCAGCAAATGTGCCCGCATGCCCGTCGAAGATCGCGAAATACCCATTGTCGGTTTCGACAACGCTGGTTTCTTCTACAGCTGTAGGCGAGACATCACCGGACTGTCTTTTACCATTGACATCAGCCTGGCCAGAGGGTGCGGGCGTCCCCAAGAAATTGTAGAGGTATGCATGAGTATCTTCCATAGTCCGACGGCATCTTCGGTTCCGGTCCTCTGTGACACCAACTCTGAATGATGAACGGGGGGTAGGTAATGATTCGCCGGCAGAATTGTTCAACGACCCTTGAGGGACAATCAATGCCGGGTCCATTCTCCCAAGTTTATGTAGAGAAGTAGGTGGCGAGTGAGCCACGGTAAGGGTCGCAGCGGTTTCACGAGAGTTGCTCCAACTTAACGAGTTTTTGGCGTTGGAGAACAATGTCGCTGCTTTGGTGACGGTACTGCTTCTCCTCTTCTTCTCGCCGCCAGGGCTTGGTTCGTCGCTCGCTCTGCGACCAAAGAATCCACCGGGAGGAGAAAATTTCTTCTGGGATACGGTAGCTTCGTCGGTCTTGACGGTCAGGGACGGTGTATTGATGGCCTCCGAGTGTGGAATTGTTTCTAGTTTATCTTTGGGTGGGCTCGAGGAGCCACTGAACATTCTGTTCAGCAACCCACCCTGGCTAGAAAAACTTCTTCTCTTATTACCTGCCAGCTTGATAGGTAGTCCTCTGTGAAGGAGAGAAGTTCAGTGAAGGTGTACGGCGGGAGTTACGGCGGTAGTGGAGAACGAAGGAGAGCGAGGAACTGACGTAGGAGGGGAGGAAGCGCTGAATGCGGATTCGAGGGAAAGAAGGCTATGATATAGATTGTCAGTAGTTGATCCTACGCAAGGTTCAATGGTTATAATGCGAGCAATAACGACAGCGGATTAGAGAATCAACCCAGCGATGCCGGCGGAGGATGATGTTATCCAACGGCCGCGGTTGGAGGGATTCTCAAACCCTCCTGGTAAGGGACTGAATGAGTGACCAAAGGACAAAAGTCAGATTACAAGGTCATCAGGATCAATCCTTCAAAAGACCCTGGGCGGTTATCCTCAGTCGGGTGTCATAGGCGCTTGAAGGCAAACCCCACTGCACGTCGATGGAAACGGTATGGTATCAGGCCCCTTCACCAAATCAAAAGGAAGGTAAACACTCACGGAATGATAGGATAGTATCTAGAGATCGCCTGGATCTCCTCTATTATCGATAGCCGTCAAATAGATACAGAAAGGCGTGAATAGATGGTAGCGCAATGCAGATAGATGGTTGGGGGGTGGAACTGATGAACGCTTATTATTAGTAGCAGCAGTAGTAGTGATTACTACTAACAACTAATAGTAATAGTACTAATCCTGGGGAGAGGGGAAATCTGCCTTACTGCCTTGGGAACAGTTTAGGTCATTGGGTCACCTAAACTGCGGCTACGCTAATCCTAGTTAGGGCAACGCGGCTGCAGAGGAAGTCCCGAAACGGCGGGAAGACGGAGATAAACTGGCCGAGGATCGGGGATGGATGGAGATAGGGACTGGGATCGAGACTAGAACACCAGAGACTTGAAGAATTGGCATCACTCTCTTCAAATGGGAAGTTGCAGGGAGTAATGATGAAGTAGATGAATCATTAGAAGTCGTGATTAAAAACCCCCAAGCAGACAGTACTGTCGACAATAATATGCTGGTCATATATCATCTTTTCATAGCGGGTAGCTAGTTAAGACAATTTACTCCTTCATCGTTTAAAGTCGCAACAATTCCTTTGTCGATGTGTCGTTCACAAAGATGCAGCTAAATATATTCTTGGGGGACCTAGAGGCTATCTTATGTTATGGTACACTGGTTAACAGAGCTGTCTGCAAGGCAGCTTGGCTGCCCATGACAACAAATTAGCCACCATAGGTTCCATATATATTTGAGACGTAAATATGCTCGATCGTCATATACGGCTGAAGTACGTCTAGACATCCTCCGTGTGGAACATGCTCAATCCCAGGAACTAAAATCACCAAAGCCACCGCCACCCTTGAATTTCTTCCGTGCAGGCTCAGGCTCGGGCTCCTCATCCACAAACTCGACAATCTCGTCTTCCTCCTGATTTGCCTGGTTCGCTAGTGCGGCCTTGAGGTACTTCCCTACTCCCCCAGCCGAGCTCTCGCCCGCTTCTGTCGCACCAGGTCCCCGAACTCGTTTTCCAGTCCAGGTTACGCGATCATCGTCTATCTCCTGAGATGCCTTGGTATCATCTGCAGAGGTCGTACCTTTCGCCTCGTCTGCTTGCTTCTGTTTCAAAAACTCCTCAAACGGATCGACAAAGATTGTTACGTCTTTGATGCGGATGTCAGGAGTAGGTCGGTTGCTTGTAGGATTCACTGGGTGAGTTTCCATGCTGTTCAATGTCGGCGACGAGGGCGTTGGGTCATCTATTACATGACCGAAAATGGTATGTTTGTTGTTCAAATGAGGCAGCGCTCGGTAAGCGATGAAGCTGCGACCATTGTCAGCAATTTGATTTGAAGCAAGCAGACACGAAAACCAGAACTTACAATTGACTGCTGTTGGTGTTTTTGCCTTTGTTGGCCATACTTAAGGTTCCTCGAGAGTCGTGTTTCAAAGGCCCTTCGAACTCATCGTTGAAGTACTTGCCCCAGATACTCTCACCTCCGCGCCCAGTACCTGTAGGGTCTCCACCCTGGATCATGAATCCCTTGATATTGCGATGGAAAGTGACATCTTTGTAATAACCCTTCTTGGCCAGTTTGATGAAATTCCACACGGCTTTAGGCGCATACTCAGTGTGCAGCTCCAGATTCACGTCGCCTAGCGTAGTCGAGATTCGAGCATAACCTTTTTGCTTAACTCGCCCTCGTTTCAACATGTACTCTTCATCTGAAAGAAGTGCAAGCTCGGCCGAAGTATGCGGTGTCATACCAGTGCTTGTAAACGACGCAGCGGCCAGACCAGTAGTATGCCTCGCCGCATTATACGGAATAGGTTTCCCAGCCTGGTGTGAAGCGGTCTTTTGCGACACAGCTGCGGCATTCGTACCCGGCTTTGTCAGTCCTTTCGAGGCGGCAGCCGACTCGGCGCGCTGAGCCCTCTCGGCACGAGCCTTCGCCACGGCCTCCTTCGCCTTCAGGATCTTCGCCGCATTGCCCAGCGCATTGACATTGACATGATTGGACACATCCTCTCGTTCCCGTATTTGTTCCTCAGTCAACGCGCTCTCTCCCTCCTTCAAATAATTGAACGAACTTAGATTCCTCGACTCGATATTCTGCGGGTCTTGTAGCGTGATTATATCCTTGCGACTGAACTCCTCATCGGTAACAAGATCGCGCCACAGTTTTCCTTTGATGTTCAGCCGCTCGACAGTATCCCACGCAAAAACATTGCCCGTATTGCGCAAAGCGACGATATGTGTGTTATCCGTCAAGACCTTGTACGTGACCGGATCGACATACTCGCCCGACTCGTTCTTCGCGATATTAAGCTTGATAAGGTCGGAACTCTTCAGCGGCGACCCATCCACAGGATTTGTACCGTGTTTCTTAATCCAGGGCAGAATGTTGGTTAGATCGAATATGGTTCCCGAGGGTGTGCAGACCGGATGCGAGAAGGGTTGGAGGGAGAGGGAGCAGAAGTTGAATGGGAGGCGTCTGAAACCGGCATGCTCTCCTCCCCGCCTCGCTTTCCCTACACCAGCGCCTGCGCTGGCCGAATATGCATCTTCCGACGCCCACTCGGAGTGTGTGATCTATTAAAGATTCATGTTAGCAGCTTGCGACACCGGAGTCGCGAAAGCAGAGGAAGCGTGGGACATCATACGTAAAGCTTATCCGTTCCTAAAAAGTCAAAAGTCAGGGCAAGCAGTAAATGATCGTTTAATGGAGTAACTCACCCTTGCCCATTTCCAACCTTTTGAGGAGCGGGGATTTATCTGGCCAAATCTGTAGCTGACTTCATGTTCTTCGGCGCCGCTGGTAGGATTATTTCCAGATATGATGTATCGGTACGCGCTAGTACAATTAATCTAACCAGTTAGGGCTAGCGCAGTAATTGACGCCATCTCCATTTTAAACTAAGTTCAAGTCACAACAGCAGACAAATGCTAGTACAGAAGAGGAAATGAACCTCTACAATGGAAGGGGTTCAAGGTTCTGAATTGACCATTATAGACTATGGTTGAACTAAATACAGATTCAAGATCACCTTTAAACCGTGGTATAATAGATATACGATACAGCATTGTGTCGATCGTGATAATGTAAACCACATATAGTACATGCTTATTAACGTATGCTTGCTTGGAGTGTAGCACATGCAAAATCTCCTCTTGCTCTCAATGACCACAGAACGTATCCCGCAAAACACCCCTTTATAAGAAATGTCAAGAATGACCCATAACGCCCGGAGTGTATTTTTTATCGTTCAAAAACCGTCAATAGCGAGTCCATTGCCCTGATTAAGCAGGAGGAGGTTGGAAGCGGAGAGGAACCACCCAGCGATTCCCAAAGTCGATCCCGTGCCGACGACGGGTGCCGTACTTACGCCAAACGATTTGCGGGATGCCGATGTCTGCGACGGAAAGTTTCCAAGAAAGTCCCTCTCCAGCCTGGAGGGCATTGACGACTCCCGTCTTAGGGGCTCCGAGACAGACTACGGATGTGGAATTGACGCATACTCGGCCGTCTTCGACCATCGTCACTTCGCCTGTTTAAAATGTCAGATATTTTTTGGAGGCATGAATAGGAGAGGCTTTCGAACTCACCGCTGGAAGCAGACAGGCCAGATGGAACATCGACGGATAGAATATCGAGGTTACTACGGTTGACCCAAGCGATCATCTCGAAAGCAATAGCTTGATCGTCAGTGCGCAGGTCCTCGAATGAGATGTGGATACCAAAGAGTGCATCAACAACCAGATCAGGCGCAAAGTCAGAGCTTGAGAGCTGTGCGGAAAGGTCTTCCCATCTGAAGACACGCCCGCCAATCTTCTTGAATACATCAAGCTGTTTGCGGCAGTTTTCAAGTAGCTCATTCTCGTGTTCTAGACCCAGAACACATAAGGTGACACGATGGCCACGATTACGAAGATGGCGCGCTGCAGAAACGGCTCGGGCTCCAGTACGATGGTTGCCGGTAAGAACGAGGATCGTGGGGGCAGCAGCATCATTCGACAAGAGACCGACGGCAGCTTCTGCTATGTCTCTCCCAGCGTTCTCGGTGATCATGTCTTCCGTCAACCCCAGCTCTGCGACGGCAATTTGCTCCACTTCAAGAGTTTGCAATGGGCTAACCGTGGGGCAGCTGCGATTGGTAGTTGTAAGGCGCAAAGAAGCTCCCGATCCAACGGCACCGGTCATTGGTGACGCTGACACGGGTGTCTTATTAGGGCGAGGGCTTGTAGTACGTGATGAGCTTAGCTGACTTCGCCCGATTGAATTGATCTGCGGTGGCACCAAAGGTTGTCCAAGAATTGCGCTTCCCTTCCGAGAGTCTCGGGCACGTGCCGATGCCCTGGATAGTTCGCGGCCTGAATAATTACCACTGCTGAGCTTCGCATCGCTCCGGCCCTGATCGGAATCGCCGTTCTCACTCTCCTGAGGGCTGTCCAGTACATTTTCTGTCCAGTGGAGATTCTTCCCACCATTTGTTCCAGGTCTCGGTTTCCTATTGAAGCTGACCAATCGATCCTCATCCGCGGTAGTGTCGTCGTTTCTGATTTCCTCAAAAACCCTTCTTTTATCGAACTTGGATAGGTTGCTTTCGAAATCGAAGTCGCCCATCTCCTGGATATCTGTTGCGTCCTCAGTTGCCCAGCCATTGGGATCTTCAGCGTACCCACGACCCCTCTTCTTGCGACGTCGTCCAGTAGAATCGGGGAAACTTTCCTTGTATTTTTGTGGGGTTTTAAATTCAGTTGTGTCGGCCGGCTGGACAAATGCAGTCTGGCGCCAGCCCTTGGTTTTCGGATTTGTATTATTTGCCCCATCGTGCTCATTGCCTGCGACATTTTGAGGATGCCCTGTCCGACCACTCCGGCGGCTTCGCTTAGTCGTAAATTGTGAAGCGGCTTGCAGCGGTGCCAAGCCTTCATTCTCATCCAGCGCATCATGCGGCTCTTCCGTCTGCGGCGCGACCTTAGGAGCCTTAGCATTGTTGTCAACATTCAGCTCCAGATTGCTGAATGGCTCTGTTAGGGCAGCCGAAACCGCCGCATCTCCATAATGAGCTTGTTGGGAAGCCTGAAACTGCTGGGCGCTCAGCACATTCGGGATGGATTGGCTCTGCAAAACAGGCGGACTGAATGACTTGGAAGGCGGCTTTCCATAGCTGACAATCGCCGGATCAACAAACGACTGTTGAGTTGGAGTTACAGATGTCTCGCGTAGGTTGGCATAGGTGCTCTGCGTCTTCGAAGGCCCCAGAGAGAGATCTGCAATGTCGGGGGCTTCGATGGAATAGGTAGGCAATTGTTGGCCGGTCCAAGAAAGAGTCACTGAGAACAACAGGTTAGACCAATACCACACAGTCTGATCAAAAACAACACATACCGTTCCTTAGCATTAGACGTTGGCCAATGACGTTGGCCACCACTCCTTGAACGCTTGCATTCGGTGGTGCTCTGAGCGTCACCAAGACATTGTAGCCAATAAACTCTGACGCCATGTCGCAGAGCAGATATTAACCACTCATATATCGCTGTTCTGATGTTTCAACAGCACGGAGGCTGTGAGAGAAGGTGAGGGGAAGTAGGGGAAGGAAAGCGTTGTACAGCGTCGCAAAAGTGAATTGTCAGGTTGCAATCGCCTTTGATAGCATCACGTGCAAAGTATCTTATCGATAATCAAGATGTGGGGGCGGCAGAGCTATGCAGCCAGCATATTTATGTTGGACGGTGAAAGCTTGTCTTGGACCCCTGTGTCTCTTAAATCAATCCATAGAAATATCCTGGTATTGGCAATCTAAAGCAAGTCTACTGATGTCCTTGATTGACCTAGATTGACTTTGATAAGTGTTCGGGACACATACCATTGTCTCCGGAGATTGTTTCACCTGGCCATTCATTTGGCCGACAACACCGTACATGCAGTATCTAATAACTTATTCCATTGAGCAGCACCCGGATATCGATATTTGCACCTTTCCTCAGAGATAAATAGCCCATAATAATAATAACATATAAAAGAAATGGATGACGCAAGGCCTAGACCATGGCGCTGGCATCACAGAAATTCCACGTTGACTTGATACCACCGTCAACCGTATAGATGCTGCAAGAGCTCTTCGTCGTCCAATTGACCATCTTCCTCAGCTTCTTGATGCTCGCGAGGCTTTGAGCTTTTCGGAGCAAGAACATCACTAATACTAACAAGGTTCGAGTAGAATTCTGTGACCTTGGGATGTACCATGACCTTGCGTGCGTCGAATCTGGTGACTTGAAGACCAGCTTTCGAGGTTGCACGACTCAAAGCGACATAAGCCTGTCCTTTTTCAAATACCCGCCCAAGGTCGACCTTGACACGCTGCAAAGTCTGCCCTTGCGCTTTGTGGATGGACAGTGCCCATGCGAGGATCAACGGTACCTGTTGGCGCTGGGCTTGCACTTCGCCGTTCGGAAGCTCAATCTTCCAAGCCTCTGGTTGGCAGAGCAAGTGCCGCTCCGTTCCATCTGGCTGGACGAAACAAACAAGAGGCCATTTTCGACTTACCACAACGCCTCCATCCTTGTTACCAAGACCCTTCAGCTTCTTGCGAGCGTGGTTTAGTCTCTCATCGTCACTCCCAGCATCTTGCCCACCGGCGAACTCGCTCTCATTGTCGCGATAGTATTCGAATGTCGCTTCATCCATGAAGGCGACAACTCGCCCAATGGAGCCGTTGACAAGCGAATCTTCCATATTTTTGATCAGCATTACCTGTGCACCTTTCTTTAGGTGTATGACAGGTGGTGCCATGCAATTGGCCAGCAATTTTTCACGAAATTGGACGTCCTGAATTGTCCCTGAGTCAACTGCGTGAAAGGTCATTGTCTCGCCAGAGAGCCTGCTCATCCGTGCGCTGTTGGCCTGTTCTACTTCTTGACGAGTAGGAAACCTGGGAATGATATTTTAGTGTCATCACCAGCTGGGAATAACTGGGACTACTTACAATTCCGTCGCTTCAAGTGCATCATGAAAGTTAAGCGGACGGGACAGTGATTTGAACGTTTCGATTGTCCGAGGGGTGAGTTTACCCAGTCTCATTTCGTTCAGCATTTCGGCGAATTCAGGATCCTTTTGACGAAAAACGTGTGTGAGGAGAATAGTATGCTGGATCGATGTATTCCAAGTAGCCGCTGCAAAGGCAAACTTCGCCTCTCGGTTGCTACCTTCAGGCACTGGAGGCAATTGAAAGAAATCGCCAGTAACGACAAGTTGAATGCCTCCGAATGGGCGGCCATTATTTCTGATTCTTCGGGCGATTTCTTCAAGCTTGTCGAACAAGTCACCATCGACCATAGACACTTCATCGATGATGAGCACCTTGGTCCGAAGCCAGCGATTCCGTGCTTTTTGATTTCTCTTAATCTGTAATTTGATCGTTAACGAATATGACCAAAGCAGAGGTAGAGGACTGTCTAACTTTCTTGACCAACTCTGGAACAGGCTCTTTACCCAGCCCAATACCAGCAAAACTGTGCAGAGTGACACCCTCAATGTTACAGGCAGCAAGACCGGTAGAAGCTGTGACTGCCACACGATCGGGCTCCTTTCGATATTTGCTCCGTAACTGTTTGATGATTTCTCTCATAAGCACGGACTTACCCGTACCGGCAGAACCGGTAAAGAATATGCTTTTGCCTTGGTTAACGACCGTGTCGAGGACATGACGCTGCTCATCACTGAGAAATAAGGACGCAATCTTTGGACGAGTTTGAAGTTGCTTGGAGTTTGTATCGCCTTTTTGGTTTTTCTTATGTTGTCGCCGTAGCTCTTTTTGCTCTTCCTTGATTGCACTGGCGGACTTGTTCCAGATAGCAGTGGGCTTGGGCCGAGCAGGGGTTTCTGGCTTCTTATATTCCTCCACCTTTGTCGATTCCTCGTTCTTGGTGAGCCATGGTAATGTTCGACTACTATTCGGTTGCTGGAGGTGGTGAGGGGGCGAGGAGGACCATGGAATCTGAACGCTACTCGACGGGGGAACGTGATCGTTGGAGACTGGAGGTAATTCAGGATATTTTATATCGGAGGATATCAAATCAACTGTAACTCTTTCCGCGCTTTTTGAAACGTTATTTCCCGTGGAATTGGCATTCGACGTCGCAGTAGATTGGCCCCCAATGCTCGGTCTCACAATTTTCGTCGGCGGAATGAAGGGTTCGGGTTCTTCAAAGTCCAAGTCTACATCATCATCGAAATCATTCTCATCGAAGTAAACAGCACTGTGTAGGGTCCCTAATGCAGATTCTCCAGCACTGCTCATCTCGATTTTCCGTTTAACGCCTATTGATTGTGGAGGTGGGGTCGGCTTCGGCTGCACGACGCCATTGCTGCGAAATAGATTGGACTGAAGGGGCTTCACAGGACCTGCGGAGTGGTCTTTCACGGCCTTCTTGAACATAGCCGCTTCCTGGGTCGCTGCCAAAGGTCCAGCTGTTGAGTAACGAGCAGTACGCGAAATCACTTTTGGACCATATATGCAGTATTGGCGGAGTAGAACGAGGTCCCTTTTTGTTATTCTGGACACATGCATATAAGTCTCGCCCCGTATATGATGCAATCCGTCGAATGAGAGAAAGACTGCAAAAGTCGATGATAAGGATGGTTATCAGGAACTTTTCGCGACCCAAGTCGCGCGTTTCAATCCGCAATGCGGATGGAACGCGCTGCATTATCGCACGTGACACCGATAAGCACTTTTCTTTTGCTTATCCACATTGATAAGGACATCATTGTTCAAGCATCAGTTTTCCACCTCTGCAATGTCTCCCCCAAAAGACCAATTCTCCACTACTGTTATGAGGTAGTCTGGTGCTGTTGAATATTGAAACTATTCCTTGATGCGACAGCGTCATTGGAGATTGCACTCCTACTTGAGTCGCCCTTATACACACGTAGGACAATGAGATGTATACTCCGTACTCGACCAATGACGCAAGTCATACTAGTTTGCAGGACCCTCCACATGATTGTTCAAAACCCGAGAAGCAGCTCAAAATCATCTGGTCAATCCATTGAAGCCATTTTGATTTAATCAGCCTTAATAATAGACTATATATCCGACCTTGGTAATCCGAAAGTCGCGCAACATCAGGGCGATATGTCACGTGATAAACGCATTTCCCGACGCGCGCGAATCAATATTGCGGAGTTTGTAAGTCTCAGTCCATCTCCAAAGCCCAACAGGCCTTGCAATCCTGCTTTTGCCAATCATGAAGCATGGCACAGAACTCGACTTCCAGTAAGCACACACTCACATCAGTGTTCGCGACGGTGGCACTGCTAATATCGCTTCAGACAAGGAACGCCCTCTTGCGGGGGTGGTCCTCTGCTTTACCTCTATTCTGCCAGAACAACGGGTATGCGCAATTCCGTGTTCATTTTGTCCACTTGGCAATACCGACAATCACTGACTGTCGGGACCCTTTAGACTGAGCTGGCCACAATTGCCAGTCAGATGGGAGCAGCTCACAAGTTCGACCTCACATCCGATGTCACACATTTGCTTGTCGGCGAGATCAATACCGCGAAGTATAAGTTCGTCGCACGGGAGCGGAGTGATGTCGTTGTTCTCAGACCGGAATGGGTTGAGGCAGTACGGCAGTCATGGATGCAGGGTGAAGACACCGATATTCGGGCGTTAGAACAGCAGTATAGACTACCAACCTTCATGGGATTGGCTATCTGCATAACAGGCTTTGAGGATAGTATGAAATTCGTTCCGGTGCTCCCATCTGCTGATAAGACTAACGGTCATTGTTAGTGGCGTATCGAAATTACATTCAGGATACTGCTGTCGCGCATGGCGCCGACTTTAGGAAAGACCTTACGAAGAGTGTGACCCATCTCATCGCGCGCAATACAGAGGGCCAAAAGTACAAATTTGCAACACAGTGGAACATCAAAGTCGTAACGATGAGGTGGTTCACTGACAGCATCGAGCGTGGCATGGTTCTTGAGGAAACTCTATACCACCCTCTTCTACTACAAGAACAACAGGGTGTGGGCGCATGGAATCGCACAGTACCGCCCGCCAAAGAGAAAGCTGTAGAAGCCGAGAGTTCATCTAATCCTCGACCTAGGAAGCTGCGCAGGATCGCAAGCACAAAGCTCGTTGACCAGAACGAAGGGATTTGGGGTGCTATCGTGGGTGCGGGATTCGAGAACAACGAGCTGAGAAGGTCAACGAACAGCCAGCCGAAGAATGAAGACGTCCCATTCTCGAAAATCACGAGAAAAGCATCCGTTGTACAGGAAGCTAAATCCTTCGCTAGCGAGACCACGTTTGCAGAGGCCCAAGGATCTCGTCAAGACACTTCTGAAGTGAGACCCGCTAGCAACAATGGTTTCCTGGATGGCTGTTTTTTCTTCATATATGGGTTTTCTCCCAAGCAGGTTTGTACCGCTAGCGTCTCTCCTTGTTCTGATCTGACTGTCCCAAGACTAGTGTCCTGCGTCACCACCTTTCATACAATGGAGCTCAGCTCGTGAGCTCTTTAAGCGAGTTTTCGCGCCCAGAGATACCTAAGAGAGGGCATGGACTCTACACTATAGTGTCGTATAAGACGCCAAGGTCTGAGATCCCCTCCACGGATGATCTGGCGTTCGAGTGTGATGTGGTGACCGACATGTGGCTGGAGAGATGCCTAGAGGCGAAAGCCCTAGTGCCACCCGAATCTTATATCGCATGTACTCCCTTACCTGTATTTCCAATTCCAGGTTGGTATAACATTTGAACGTCTTGAAACGTCTACTGACGGAGTTAGGATTCCATGGGATGAAGATCTGCTCGACCGGGTTTTCTCGCATCGACCTGTTGCATTTATCAAAGCTGATCGACTTAATTGGTGAGCCACTAGAATTTGTATCAGCTTAAATAGATACTTACTATGTAGGTGCTACATATGACGAGTACCTAACGCCGAAAGCGTCTGTTCTGGTATGTAATGACTCGCGCTCAATGAATAACGAAAAGCTGCGACACACTTCCGAGTGGAAAATCCCAGCTGTCACCATAGATTGGCTCTGGTCCTCCATCCGATCAGCACAGAGAAAGGCATTCGAACCATATATTATACAGAGGTTGTCGCAACCTGAAAAGAGCTTGGAAGTGCGAGCCGGCTCTCGCACGGAGCAGAAACAGCTGTCCAAGTCCTCCGATAAGCCCAACAGGACTGCGCAGCCAGACTCCCATACTACGGAATCAAAGAGACTTGGTGAGAACGGGCCCACCAAGAGCACTCCTGTCGAGAAGCCGTCCAAACTCGGTAGCGAAGATGAATCAGTGAAGCCACCACTTCCATACAAACGACCATCACAGTCAGCATCAGTCTCACCTACTAAAGTAACCGGACCAACAAACACAGCCTCGCCTTCAAACAAGCGAAAAGCATCAGACCATGGCACAACCCCCGCACAATCCGCAATCGAACTCGCCGTAAGCGGATTTCTCAAGCAAGCACGAGCAGCAAACTCGCGCTCAAAATCCGATACAGCAGACCAAGAAAGCGATAGCCTCCGCCGAAGGCGCCGGAAACCGCTCCTCGGACGAGCACCATCCCACTCCTCCGCACAGGGTGTCTTCTCTCGCGCCAGCTCAATCGACACACTCAACGAAGACGGGTGCGGCAGTGCCGTGGAAAGCATCAACACAGAGGGCTTCAACTCGTTCCTTACAGGCGGGCGATTCGAGCCCTCGGAATCTCAACGTCGCGTCGAGGATGAAGAGAATGAGGAGCCTGCAATGACGCAGCTGAACTACGAGGATCCCGATGCTGTCAAAATGCGCGAAGAGCTTTTTAGTCACGCTGGCAAACTGTCCAAGAAGAAATCTCCCGATCAGGGCGTGATTGTCGGTGAGGTCAGGGAATTGGAGGATGTTGGCTGGGGAACTGGTCGAAGGACGAGGAACGCGGTTAAGGATTCGGAGGATGAGTTGTAAATGAGGTTCATGAACTGATCTGATTTTATAAGAGCTTTGCATTGCTTTTGGTGTCAATTTTCTTTTGGTTTGTCCGGTGCATTGCATGGTATAATGGCGTCTTTTGTTCACTCGAGCTTCGGGACATTAAGATATACACCAATAGCGTCAACGGCGTGCGGATATTTTCCTCTCATGATTTGATGCCATAAACTTTATTGGCCTAAATAATAGGGGATATATATCATTCTGAAGCTCAAAGCTGCCTTGACATGTACATTAGGCAAGAGTATTTTAGTCATAAGCCATATACATCCTCACAGATATTCGGCATATGGCTAATACTACCTGTCTGCAGCGAACAAAGAGGAATGCGGAGTCGCCATTGTTACAAGAGATGGGTAAGGTTTCTCAAATTAGAGGTAAAAGCAGGTACATTTTATAACAAACAAAGGGCTCAAGGTACGCCGTGGGGGATATCTAGTAAGCAAAGGCGGAGTGAAGAGCGGTCGCTACGCTATTGATCAGTCATAGAGACTGTATAGCGAAGGATGAACTCTTTCAGAACCTCAGAGAATTGGGTGTGGACAAGGAAAGACTGTACAGGACATTGAACAAGCGGAAGATGTATGAGAAGGGAAGGAGAAAACGCAATGACATAAGTCAAACAGGGGAAAAGAAGGGCGAGATTCATGTAGCGTCATAATGTTTGTACAGACAAGCCTCACCCTTGAACGGTGGCCAGGCCTCCAGGCAAGGGGGCGTCAAGATCAATATCCTCAACGGACCGTCGATTCTCTCCACTATCACGGAAGAGGTTTGAGAAGTATTTGCTCGCGACCTCGCTCTCGTGTTTCGTCTTGCTGACCTCCAGCTTACGTCTTCCGAGGTCCTCAATGCCTTGAGCGAGGCTGGTCTGCAGATTGCCGGCGGGTATACGGAGGATGCGGCGAACCTCAGTCGAGATACGACTGGCATTGGAGTGTACGTAGTCCATTTCGGACAGAGTAGCGGCAAGCTTGCGCGAGAGACGAGGGGGAAGTGTATGCGGGATTGACGAAAGCATGTAAGCAGTGGTCAAGACGGCTGTTGAAAGTTAGCTTGAGATCGCGTATAGCAGAATTGAAGACGACAGGAAACTTACCAGCAGCGACGATACCAGGTAGGAGGAGACGCCGCAAGTTGTTAGGCCCAAGGATTTTGGCGGCACTGAGCATGCTATCTACCCAGCTGCCTCCGAAGGCTCGACCACCGAGGACTGTCACGGCAGTCATGGCAATTCCGGTGCCAGCCATCTTCTCCTGCCGTTCCCACAAACCGGAAATATCAAAGAAGTCCCAGATCTCCACCTCAGTGTCGACCTGTCTAGCTAGCGTGTGGCGACGACCACGGCGGAACATTGCATCAGCACGGAAGTTCAATGGAGCGAACTTGTCCTCTCCAACATGCAGCAGACCAATGTTCTGAATGAATCCCACTCCTTGAACGGTCTTTGCCCGCGCGTAGTCCTCGCAATCGGCGACGGATGTAGCGATCTGCTCCAGCATTGCCAATTTGAGATCTTCAGCATACTGGAACGCAGAGAACAGACCAGGGTACTCAACACCTAGGTCTGCCTCGGACACTCGCGAGATGGTGTCCGTTAATGTTGAACGTGTATGGTTGTAGACATCCTCGCACGAGCCGTCAATACACTTTTCAACTTCTTCACCAAGCTCGACCTGTTTCTTCTTGCCATTTTCATAGGCTGGTTCAAGCTCAGCGAGCTCGTCTGTAACACGCTTGAGTTCCGACTGAGCGATGTCACGATTAACAGCTGCTAATGAATTAATATCCGCAAGTAGGTTGAGAAGATATGTTCTCGCAGGCGCCAGCTTGGAACGAGCACGCTTCTCCAGGACGAATCGTCTGAGAGAGCTCTCCAGATTCTCAAAATCTCGAATTTTCTCCCTCTCCTTTCCTTTGCCCTTCCCTTTATCGTCAGGCTGGTCGTCATCGTCATCTCCATGAGGATCAGAACCTCCACCACTGCCACCACCAGATTGCTCCATTTGGATGGGAGGCGCAACTGGGACGGCATTACTGGAAACAAAATGAACCAGCTCAGCGGCTTCCTTATACGTACGAGGACTGAGCTTGCCAATCTGATCCAGGATCATGCGTTCGCAACGTTGCTTATCACGAATCTGATCAAACCCATTGACAACAATGAAGATGTAAGCCTTCTCATGAGCAGCATTCAAGATGAACTCTTTGGCGGAAAGAGTAAAGTGGTTGGCGGCCGATACCACAAACACAACCACATCAATTTCCTCCTGCCGGGCGAAAACGGCTGTCGTCTTTAACGAGTCTGAGTTGAGGCCAGGTGCATCGATTAAAGCGATATCCACCACCCCATTATTGAGGAGAGATTCATCAATCGTTCGGACGTCCTTCACATAGACCTTGCATTGCATGTACTTGGAGTTGTCGATAACGATGTTTTCCAGCTCCAGGAGAGTGTACACATCGTAGGTACTTTCATCGTTACGATTGTATTGCTTGTTCTTGTGTACCGCATGTACCTCCTCGACTCCACTGTTCTCTCGCGCATCGAGAACCTCGCAGAAAATGCTAGTGCAGGGTTGCTGATCTTCGGGAAGCACCTTGCGACGCAGCAAAGCGTTACAGAAAGTGGATTTGCCGGCATTCAAGTCTCCCGTGATTAGCACCTTGCTTGATGTGTCTTCGATTCTGTCCCGTAGAGAAAGAAGGTGTTTGATGCTCTGACTGATTTTTCCGTCCAAAAGTGATGCAATCGAGGCCTTCTCCAGCGAATGTACCAACTCGGCCTGTGACAGAGCACCGAGCTTCAGATCCAACTTCAAAATCGAGAATTCCTGCGCAATCTGTGGGCTCATCAATCTTGGTTCCGGTGAAGGTCGGCGCTCGGCCGCGGCACTCGACTCCGCCAAGTCATCGCTTCCTGACATCGTGGCTGCGCGTCGCATTTGTCCCGGCCGGGGGAAAGGCTCCGATTGATTGTGTTCACTTTCGAAATATGACTGACTCTGTCGTAGACCGGGTCTCTGCGAATCCGAGCCGGGGCTACCCGGAGCGCTCTGTACAGATGGATAGTGTGCTGGCCATTGGCGGTTCATATCCTGAAGCTCCTTCAACGTTTCAATCGTCCGGGAAATCGCACGCCCGAGTTTCGTCCGATTCGAGTTACTGGAAAGAAGACTTGTCAGCCTCTCAAAACGAGTTGCAGCTAATTTGTCCGCACATACTAGAGTAGTTGATGAACATGGCTGGCAATAACCTGCTTTTCATGCTCGGCTGTATCAACCACACGTCAGCAACAATGCTCCAATTCCATTACCCCTTATTATTCCAACATGAACAGAACCACGAACCAGCTGGATTCCAATTACCCACGCCGGGAGGCGTAGGCACCGGCGTCGGTTTATCAACCATCATATCCGCTCGCCACCCGGCCCCTTCATCACCATCCATCACACTTCCACTCGCGATACTCCCTCCATAGCCCGAATCAGCATTCAACGAAGCCATGAGAGCCGTGGCGCTCTCAGACGTCGACCCATTCCCAACGGTCATGTACGTAGGTGGGGGTCGTGGATAAAAAGGGTTGTTCTCCGAGGGAACATCCTCGGGAGGATGCCGAGAGGATCCCTCTCCGGCCGATGCGCTCTTGCCGGGGAAATACTCCTGACTCATGACGAATATCGTGTGCGTTGCATCGACTTCGAGAATAACAGAATGGAAGGGTGTTTGGCAGAACCGGGTTTAGGTGATAGTGATGGTTCCACCGGGAAATTTCATGACGGCAGGCGTTGGACTAGGCCCGAAAGGGGCTGGCGGCAGCATGTGACCCCCTCCTGCTGTAATCAATAATGGCCGCGTATTATTGCTCGTTACCCCGTCAAGCCTCTGCTTAGGTGGGTTGATGTCACCGCATCACATTCACCGCAGGCTTCCATCTGATAAACATACTGCTGCGCATAACAATTGCCGTTTGTGAAGGGGCTCGTTTACTTTGGACACTCTCTTCAAACGCTACATAGACTTGTCGTGCTCATCATGAATGTACGTGGTACACCACACTACCTCTCGTTTCCCCACTTACAGGCCTCTTCTAGATCGTCGAGTGGGCATTCGGGAAGCGCATGACGCCAGCGGAGCGTCTGCGCAAGCATCAAAGAGCGCTCGACCGGACGCAGCGAGAACTAGACCGGGAACGTGTCAAGTTGGAAAACCAGGAGAAGAAGCTGATTCAAGACATTAAAAAGAGCGCCAAGAATGGCCAAATCGGAGCCTGCAAGATCCAAGCAAAGGATCTGGTTCGGACGAGGAGGTATGTATAGCATAACACCGGTCTTTTTTTCCTTCGCTGTATCTCTTGATTAATTTGTCACTTGCGATTAGGTACATCCAGAAGTTCTATCAGATGCGGACGCAGTTACAGGCCATTTCCCTCCGGATTCAGGTACGGAGCTGTTAGAGAGCTGACGGATCAGTGAGCTGACAGTGACATACAGACTGTTCGAAGCAATGAACAGATGATGCAATCTATGAAAGGAGCCACGATGCTTCTAGGAAGCATGAATCGCCAGATGAACCTCCCTGCGCTTCAACGGATTGCGATGGAGTTTGAACGAGAGAACGATATCATGGACCAACGGCAAGAAATGATGGACGATGCAATAGACGAGGCTACAGGTCTAGAAGGAGAGGAAGAGGAAGGCGAAGACATCGTGAAGGAAGTTCTGGATGAAATTGGTGTTGACCTCAGCCAGGCGGTAGGTCCATCCAGCGGGCTAGTTCTCATTCTTGCACTTTACTGACATTTCTACCACAGCTGGGTGAAACGCCATCAGATATTCAGAAGACAGCGGTTGGCGAGACCAGAGTTGCCCAAGCGGTTGGAGCCGGTGGTGGGACTGCCAGCGATGACGATCTTCAGGCCAGGCTGGACAGCCTTCGGCGGTAAAGATACGACACTCGACCAAATTCCTCCCTTACGCCTATACCGATCATCCACTTAGGAATATGTTCTATTGCTAGATGAAGTACTGGGGATATCCTTAATGAGTTACGAATGTCAATAATTCCTTTTATCAGAGGTCCTGTGGTTTTGTCAGCATTCAGAAATCCGCTTACAGTACGGCTCGCACACTAGGTTGAAAATGATCTGATGGTAATCAAGTCATGGATCTCTATGAGGAAAAACTAAAATCAGCTGGGAGGAAACAACTTCGTCGCAGTCATACATCACCGGTGAAATGAAACGCTTGCCTGTATACTTTTCGTCGAAAAAGGGAAGTCTATCACGCATTCTATGCGGGATCTGGTGAAATGCACCTCCAACTTCTAGACGAAATACTCGCGAGGTATATCTGGACGCCTGAACAATTTGTCACCGTGATAAGCCCATTGGCCGAACCAAGGAAACGAAATCAGCTCGCTGAGTCTTGGTCGCTGCTTTGGGTCCCTTTGGAGCATCGTTCGCAGCGCGTCCACGCAGTCCTGCGACAAATCCTCCCGGACAGCCAATTCCTCGTTAATCATTCGCTTCCGTCTGGCATAAGCTGCGTCCCAACGGGGTCCTTCGTCGTATAGTTCGGGAGGCTCCTGCCAACGGCCATCGATAAGCCTACAAGCGAACTCGCCAACTGTCCTAATCTCATCGTCCCATTCCGGATCCTCCCAGGGTGCGTATCCGTGCAGCAAACAAAACACCTCAACAGCATAATTCCAGAGTGCGGTTTGACGTGTATCGTTTCTGCATTTGACTTGTGCGATTCCACGTGTTGTGTTTCTGACATGGACGCGCCATTGTGGCTTCAGCAATTCGATTGCAACCTCTGGAGGCAGTAGATACTCTTGCCAAAAGACGTAGGTGTGGGAGTTTTCCAGGAAGTCACGATCATCCAGCCCAAAGCCCATTATTCCAAAATCGATCAGTTGTGTCTGCACTCAAGAACAGACTGTTAGCCAGGCCCTGATGGTCAACTTCAGGGAGATCGGAGACGAATTTGGGGAGGGAAAAACAAAAGTAACAGAAGAAAAGCAAGCCTTGCATCTCCAACGGAACTGAAATTCTGAAATTCACTTACGTCTAGATTCTCGCCCACGAGGTAATTGCGATAAGACACGTCGTCATACGTGATGTTCATATCACGGAGGTAAGCGATTGCTTCCAAGAGCTGCGTCGACACCTTGCAGGCCTGAAGCTCATTCAATCTTGGCTCCTTTTCACGAGTGCGGAGATGGCCCCCTTCAATGGCCCAGACTTGGTCCGTCTCTTTCATTCCCTTTGAGAGTTGGAGTGTATCGTAATCGATACAAGCGGACATGACAATCGCGACCTTGTCCTTCTCAGTATAGACAGAGTGGAGGGTTGGAAACCTTGGGCTGCGAGTCAATAAGAGCATGATCATTGCTTCACACGGTATATAACGAACTTTTCCACCCTCTTCAAAGAACATCATTTCGGCTACATGTGGCCCATCACCCATGGCCGCAATGGTGTTATGATCGTTAACCTTGATGGCAAAGTTAGCCTGTCCGTGAGGAGTGTTTTTGTGGGCAAGGAACACGGTGCCGAAGCCTATATCAGGTCATTAGCTACCAGCCAAAGACGACTCAACACCAAGAGAAAAAGCAGGTGGACATACCTCCAGAACCAATGCAACCAGATAGTCTCACCTTCCGACGAAGCTTGTGGCACATACCCTGGAGTCGTGCGTTGACAGTTGCGCGCCCACCCCTTGATCGTTCTATGGACCTGGCAACCTTCGTTTGGAAGGTATGGCTGTCAGGTCTGTGTTTCTTGGTCTGGTTCAGAGCGACCGCGCCTAGGCCGTACTTGTGAGAACACCGGGAGACCTGTCGTCCTCCCCTCAGATCCAGGCTTGTCTTCAGTCGGCCCGCAATCACTCGATGAAGAAGTGGGAATCTTTCTGAAACCGCGCTCTCTGGCTGAATGAGAAGGGGAATAATCTTGTCGAACCGGCGGGTATCAGCAGGCATTCTCTGAGGGTCTATGCCCAAATTGGCCGTAGCACCAACACCATCCGAGTCAGTCGTGTCCCCCCCAGCTGTATCATTTGGGGCAACAGTCGGATTTGTCGCATTGTTTGCATTCGTGCCATTCGTTCCATTCGTCCCATTTGTTCCATCCGTGCCAGAGTCATCGGGATTGAAGACTGGACTGTTCTTGGCGTATGAAAGTGTATCTCCCCATGGGGTGACGGCGCGTGGGGTGTAGCTGTCGAATCTGGGCCCTGAACTACCTGCAGCAGCTTCTTTTGGGGTGTTGTTTGAATCTGACATCCTAGCATATGCAAAAGCTGACAAGGTTGTATAAATAGAAAGCGTTAGAGTGTTGTTTTCTGGAATCTTCCCACTGTCATACGCGGGAAATGCGTATGCTATATACCCTGGAAAAGGCATCTCTACCTCCATAGATTGCTTTCAGATTGTCATGCTGCAGTCCAAAAATAGAAGGTTGATGAAGTTACCATGAGCCGGAGCTGGGTCCATTGTTCAGTGACAAAGGGCAATACTTCAGTGGTGGTTGATAAAGACATTAACCTGAATAACGAAATAAGCAGTGTCAACAAAGGGTTTCAAGTTGAATATTCGCTGAGTTCTAGACAAAGAGATTGCGGATATAGAGATGCCTCTCATATCGAAGTCATTGTCCTCTCACAATTTGAAAGGGCTGTTTGGACACTCTTCAGCTCTTTACTGGTAACAGAAGAGGGTGCTCTCTTGTTGCGGTCTCCGACTGATAAAGATCTTAAGATTAGAATGACAAGGGAGCGTTTCAGTTTAGATATTACATGACAAAGGGCATCATTCATGCTATTATAATCGGACACCTGCCAGGAAGCTATTCCAACTCTATCTTTGTTGACCTCCGAAGGGCATCCGGTTCCGTAACCAAGGCAGACAACGTCAAAGGGATCATCCGTGAACCGGGAGCTTTATTTTAGTCAAAAATTATTTAAGTGTTAGGATTAACAAGGAGGACAAATACAGAGTCCTCTTCGCTCCCATCCATTTTCCCAATTTTAAGCCCTACGAGTAGTGTCCCTGCCAGGATATATTGCTCAAGGAGACCCCACACAAGACGTCAAATTACTACTGATTTAAGGCCAGCATTGCTGCTAGTGAAATTACAGTATTACAATCCAGTTTTAAATATAATCAACTGACAGGATGACGAGGCGTGTCTCAGTCTGTCAGGGCAAAAAAAGGGTAAATACTGCACGCCACGGCAACATAACCAGAGGCCAAAAGCCATCCACATAAATATTCAATGACTGATGACTATGAGCGATATTATCAATCAAGATGGGGCCAAAAAAAAACTTCTTTCAAGCCACTGCAATCATGGATGACTTGCACTGCAGGTATTCAGTCTCTTCAAGCAAGTCAACAACACTGCAGAAACAAAGGAGCATATCCACTTGACATGTGGCCTGTGGGACTTGCATGGGTATCACTGATTACTACTGCAAGCCAAAAGGCAAGGATACAGTAACCAGTTGGCTTAAAACATGACACTACGCAATGTGGATGGCTGATGAGAATGACTGCACAAAGGCGCGATGGTGCCTGCTTTGAGCGTCTCTTAGCTGCAGGATCGAGCGGCACAGAGTGCTCAATCCTCTCTACTTGCATGTTCCCATCCACCAGTCATAGAACGAAGGCACCGTCATCAAAACAAAATCCAACACTGGAGGTAGGTGAGGTTGCAAGGCAGACTAGGCTGCAATCCCAGCAGAGCCTCGTGGAAAAAAGCAACTCATCATTTTGGAGACCGGCGGTGATGCAGCGCGCCAGCTCCACGGTAGTACAGGGCATCATCATCCACAGTCGCAGGAATCATCTACATCCCCAACATCGTATTCCGGTCAGTCAAATTGATGCTTTGCTTACTCTCTGATCTATGTCAACATTGACGAATGTCCTCGATTGGCCACTGATTCTACTGTAGTATGTCTCCTGCACAGCCACTGCTTTGCGGCTGAGGCCTCCACGACCAGGAGGAACAGCCTCAGCAACCAGGCCAGACCTTCGCAGTAGACTTGCCCGGGCGCGTCCTGCGCCCCATTACACTCGTGTTTCTGTACCTGAGATGCAGCTCTGCGACACCTCTGGTCATTATTCCGTTCTCATCGACGAATCATCCAACTGACCGGGAAACTTGCCCATGAGTTCATCCCCTCCAGGTTCGAAAAATTTTTCTGTCGCGTGTGAAGAGAGTGCAGAGCAAATGGCAAGGCAGAAGTGCATGGATACTTCACACCATGAAACCTGAGTGGTCACTCAGCAGCCGCCTTTTTGCATTGAAAAGGCCGACAGAGCCCCTCCGGGTCCTACTTCCTTCTGCCTGGAGCTTAAAGATGTCTCTGTGTCCTTTCCAGTGGCCTTGATGTTTATGGTCTCATCATCATCTGTATATGCCATTAAGTGCCCTCAACTCTGGTAGTCCTTGTTTGACTCCTATATGTTGTATTAGTCTGGAGACTGTTCCCTCACCTCTGACTGTACTCTCGTCTTGGTGCTGGTACCGAAAGTACTCTTCTGCAGACCATGGTGATCGCCAATCAAAATATGGGCCCGCCTGTCCCTCCTCTTCATCACCCACCGGCTCATCCGCACGAGGACCCTCGCATCATTCAGCACCGTGTTCCTGGCCAGATAGATCCTGCATATCTGGCGGACCAAATGGCTCAGCTTCATGTGGACCCCCAAAGGTCTGCCCAAAGCTACCAAACAGGTCACTCCGAACCCATCAGAGAACACACGCGTTCTCCATACTATTACATTGGGTACACCTTCTTCAAGGCCGAGGCAGCACCCGGCCAAAAGTCCACTTGGAACCAAGTCGAGAAAACAAGGATGAACCTGAGCCAGGCAGATCTGTTTCAGTTGGTGCAGAAGAGAGCAAAGAAGTCTACTGCTGTTGAGCAATATCAAGCACTATCAAAATTGAAACGAACCCATGTGGACCAGTTAATCAATGAGCACAGCCGCAGTGACCCTCGGTTTGAATGGACCTGCGCGTACATCAAGGAGGATTACAAGCCGGTCAAAGGCAAGGGTGCTCGTCGGGGTGATTTTGAAACGCTCTCGATGGATGTGGTGATTGTGAGAGGGCCGGTGACAGCCGAACCGGCCGATGTCCATACCCATTCCAAGCCAAGGGAGGAGCACACTGTCAATCCCAACAACTTCATGGCAGAAGATGTGCGTATACCGAGGGTTGTCGAGATAAATGGCCAATGGAATCAGCCGGCTATCAACCATGCACAGATGCCAGCAAATATGAATCAAGCGCAGCAACATCCTCAGCATGCGTACCAGCAACCACATTTCCCTGCTCAGGGTCACGCTGATACAGCAAGGCAGCAGCAACATCAACAGACGCAATGGTCAGGAATGCACCAACAACCAGAGGTACATCATCATGGGGTACCTCATCCAGGCAACAATCCTCAATTTCAGCCACAAAATCCGGGTATCCGTGTCATCCCAGTCGCTCCTGATGCGCATCCTCAGAGCCTTGATCGGGATCTTGGGCCCCAACACAATCATCATGCAGCTCAGCCCTTCATGAGGCCAGAGATTCATAATCAAACCAGCGCGAATAAAATATATACACCCCGGTCGTCAAGTCTGCACGTCGGGCCCGAAGTAGAGTGGCCTCCTGAGTCGAGCAGCCTAGGAGATGACGATTCGGAGCTGTTTGACTTTGAGGACGAAAGCTCAGCTACCGAAGGCTCCGAGGACATCATTGACGAAGCGCCAAAAAAAACGAAATCATGGCGCAGAAGCCTTCATCATCGCCAGAACTCCGCATCAAGGCAAAATCGGCCTGAGGTCGCTTACAGGACTCATTACCGCAAGAAGCCGACCAAGCCTGCTTCAGACTCGAAGCTCAACCGCAGCAAATACCCAGTCGGCTATGTCGAGGTGATCCCAGCAAATAGCAAGCAATCAAGCAAGCGAACTGTGAAGCCTCAATTGAAAGAGGGTGCCGCCCAGCAACAGCCCCGGAGCCGGCCCAAGATTGTGCAAGCACCCGCGAACTCGGCCGACCTCGACCTAGTACACCTCGGCGAGAAACTGCTTAAGGGCCGTGAGAGGAATGACATCAGAACGCGAATCCTGGATGACCGGGAAGCGAGAGTGGAACGGCGAGAGAAGCTGGTCGAGCATCAGGCTCGGATGTTGGACGAGAAACTCGAAGAAGCCCGTTATTTGGACCGACACCTGCCGCTTCGAGAAACAGGTCTCTTTCAGCGTCGATATTACCTATGAAATTCCCTGGGCCTTTGTTTAGGTTCCTTAACCTTTTCCTTACCCATTTCGATTGGAATTTAGTTTAGTTTTCTCCCCTTTCTGTTTCCCATGCTGTAATGTACACTTTCGGGGTTTCGGTCAATCGGTCAACAGGGATACCACTGGGAACATGGGCGTTACTAGTATATCTTGTCTATTGATAATTAGGTACATGCAATTATACAGAACAATAGTTTTGAATAGTCTACACTCTGCAGATAACTCCCTGGACATCCTTTTCGTATTAGAGGAGCCAATTGAAGAATCATCTCATATGTACACGCAGCAGGACAGCTCATCAACCTCACCGGGGGGAGTGGACCAAGTGACGCAGTACAAGTGTTATCGATAAGCCCCTCTCTGTTTCTGCCAGTTCGGTAAGGCACCAAGCCCCGCTGTCTCCCGTTTTCTCTTCGTCTTCCTTCGTCATAAACTCCATAATAAACCGTCGGTTACTCCAGGCTAGTGACTTCCTGCTTTTCTTCCCTCATACCCATCTCTCCATACTGTTAAGATTCATATCCTCCGCATATTTTCCCATTTCTTTCATTTCTCTATACACTCAGCCAAAATGCCTCGCCAATTCTTCGTCGGTGGTAACTTCAAGATGTATGAGCTCTAACCCAATGCCCCGCAATTCCCCTCGCAGCTTCACCATCCCAACCTGCAACTGCACAGCTACTGACATTCTCGGCGCAATGATAGGAACGGTGTCACTGACACCATCACCTCCATCATTAAGAACCTCAATGAGGCCAAGCTCGACCCTTCCGTCGAGGTCGTCATCTCCCCCTCTGCCCTCTACCTCCTCCTTGCCCGCCAAACTGCCGACTCCAAGATTGGCGTTGCCGCCCAGAACGTCTTCGACAAGCCCAACGGTGCTTTCACCGGCGAAATCAGCGTTGAGCAGCTCAAGGATGCTAAGATTGACTGGGCTATTATCGGACACAGCGAGCGTCGTGTCATCCTTAAGGAGACTGACGAGGTACGTTACTCGCTGGAACCTAGTTTGCCGGATTGGGAATGGAATGGCTAACTTCTCTGATTAGTTCATTGCTCGCAAGACCAAGGCTGCCATTGATGGTGGCCTGAGCGTCATCCTTTGCATTGGTGAGACCCTGGAGGTAAGTTATTCTATTCGCTCGGTTCTATTCCCCACGTATCCAGTAGACTAACACTACATAGGAGCGCGAGGCTGGCAAGACCATCGACGTCGTTAGAAGGCAGCTTACTGCTGTCGCCAAGGAGCTCTCCAAGGAGCAGTGGCAGAAGGTCGTCATTGCCTACGAGCCCGTCTGGTTAGTCGCTCACCAACACATCAATTCACAACTAAACGCTAACAACACACTGCAGGGCCATTGGCACCGGCAAGGTCGCTACCACCGAGCAGGCCCAGGAGGTCCACGCCGCCATCCGCAAGTGGCTCAGCGACGACGTCTCCGCCGACGCCTCTGAGAACGTCCGCATTATCTACGGTGGCTCCGTCAGCGAGAAGAACTGCCGCGAGCTGGCCAAGCAGCCCGATGTCGACGGTTTCCTGGTTGGCGGTGCCAGCTTGAAGCCTGCCTGTAAGGACTCCTTTCTACCCAATTGAGTGTCGAAGTTATAGACTAATGATGTGATATAGTCGTCGACATTGTTAACGCCCGTCTGTAAGCCGACATACGAGAAAACCTCCCTCCCCAAATCCTGCTGCCACTGTAGTACCGGCAGGAATACAGATCATGAATCGCAATCGGGCTCTTAAGCGGCCCTCTGGGGACTTATATATGCTTGCTTAGGTTCGCCCATTCAGCGGGTGAAGTTCAAGCTATATATCTCAACGTTAAAAGTAAAAAATTGAATGTAAATAAAGTGGAGTATGCGATACAGCTGGTTCAATCCTCTTAACATTCGTAAATTCATGGATGAATTCTATCCTAATTCATATTTAGGACGTAGTAGAAAGCGCTATATACAAAGAACGATGCAGATCATATACAGATCATAGGATATTTTGGTCTCACGACGAATACGAAACTGACACCCCAACACCATGCCAATACGATTTCCCAGAAACACCTCCGCCAACAGACTGCCCACCCCCCGCTGCAGTCGAATTCGCAGCCCACGAAGACGAAGAGAATGAACTAGGACCTAACCCCACACCCGCACTAACTAGAAGCTCCTTCACGCGGCCCTCCCACAGCAACCGCACATTCCAGGACTGATCGACGCGGATCTTCAACACTGATTCATTTTCCTGGTTTTCATTATGAGCAGTGGGGGGATCCACAGGAGGAAAGGCAGAGGGATCGGCCATGCGCATCTTTCGCCTGGCCCATTCAAGGCCATCGTCATCGATTGGCGGGTGCGGGGATTTCCTCTTCCGCCATAGTTCGCAGCCGGCGACCATTTCGCTTTCCCAGCTGTAGACGTTGAAGCCGAAGCGGGAGCTGAAGGCTAGGTTGGGCGAGGCGCGTAGGGAGTAGGTGGTTGATAGGGAGCCGGTGAGTGGTGTTAGGACCAGGGTGAGGGTGTATGGGAAGGTGGAGATTGGGGTGCCGTGGTTTGAGGTCGTGGTTGTGCTAGACGTGGATGACGCTGATGACGGCATCTCGGTGGCTGCTGGTAGGGTGCTGAACCGTAACCCAGTTGACATGCCGATGAGCGAAGAGACGGGGGAGTAATATGCTTCTGCGCCGGCCGATAGTAGTGATAACCGTGGTGATGCGTTCTCCTTGGTATGGCGCGGGTCTGGGCCGAAATTCCACAGCCCCCGCCAGCCGAACAACGAATTGTCCGTGCTGAACAGATATTCATTGCTATACTTGCCCGTGTCGTGGGAAAGTTGACCTAGGAGAGAAGCTTGCGGCGCAGAGTTTGATAGAGGAGGTCCCCGGGTCGAGCAGACTGCCAATGACAGCTGCATGGTTGGTGAGATTCGGCGCAAGAACAAGGCATTCAGGGTTGTCGGGGGAGGAAGATGCAAAGTTGCATTGAGCAGAGTCGCCTTCCGCCCGAGCGAAAGTTGACTATCGCCATTGCCGGAGGGTTTGGACTCAGAGGATCCGAGTCCATCAAGGAGTGACTGCCACCCCCAACCTTCCACCGGGGCAACTGGAGGCTGAACTTGGCGATAACCGCGCGCTAGTTTACGCAGTGGAATAAGGGCGCTCCGGCTGGGAGTATTGTTTAAAGGCACGGTGCTGTAGAGGTACGATACGGAGCCATCGATCAATCCAACTGTGCCGAGGGTATAACTGGTCGCGAAGTGAGGAGTGGCTAGGGACGAAAGATGGACGCGCAGCCGCTCCGGAGTCGAGAAATCGAGTAACGCTGTATGCAGTCAAATCGAGATCATAACTATCTAAGCTTTAATATGAGGCAAATGCACGTACATTGCGCTGTGGCTGTCAGGGACGAATATGAGTTGTCGCGGTTCCAGTTGGTCGCCTCGGCGAATGCCAATTGGATGTAGTCCATGAAGTCAAGCATTGTCAAAGATGTCTCAACTCAGTTCTTCAGCCCAGCTGTCGTTTATCATTATGAGTCCATCTCCAATGAACGAGAAATGAATCTGGCCCATGGATAATTAATGACGATGATGACCTTGGAAACGGAAGTTGAAGCCCCAACATCATCAGCTCAATTCCTTATACGGCTTAGCGTACCCGGATAAGCCCCGCATCAACATTAATCCGCCTGTTATCAGAGAAGAAAAAAATAATCGTATCTTTCTGCTCCGAGTCAATTTTCCGAGTCTGTATATTTCCGCATCTTTCAAGGCATACAGAGACTCGCAACGGTATAATCACTTTCAGAAATTCAAAATCTATAATATTTCGCAATGCCTCGTTCAAAGCGTGCCAGAATTGTCCACGAGTCGAAGGTCACCAAGAAGTCCCACAAGGAACAGACCAGACGACTTTATGCCAATATCCGCGAATGTGTCGAAAATTATGATCACCTATTCGTTTTCTCCGTCGATAACATGCGCAACACTTATTTGAAGGATGTGCGCACCGAATTTGCCGATAGTCGGTGAGTCTACCTGATTTTCAGGACCAGCCCCGCGAGATATACCCTTTCACAATGTGCAATATGGCAGCGGAAACATTATCGCACTTCAATCGCTAACAGTCCAAATAGTCTCTTCTTTGGCAAAACTAAAGTCATGGCCGTTGCCCTTGGCCACAACCCCGAGACCGAGGCCGCACCCAACCTGCACAAGCTCTCTTCCTACCTGACAGGTGCCGTCGGTCTTCTCTTCACCTCCCGCGATCCCGAGTCCGTCCTCAGCTACTTTGACGCCTTCCGCCCCCTCGACTTTGCCCGTGCTGGCACCGTCAGCACCCGCTCATTCAGCATCCCCAATGGCCTGGTCTACTCCCGTGGTGGTGAGATCCCTGCGTCCGAAGACGAGCCGGTCAGCCACACGATCGAGCCGGAGCTGCGCAAACTGGGAGTTCCTACTCGTCTAGTGAAGGGCAAGGTCATGCTCGAGCTGACTGATGGGCAAGAGGGCTACCCTGTCTGCAAAGAGGGAGAAGTTCTGGACTCGCGGCAGACAACGTTGCTGAAGATGTTCGGTGTCGCTACTGCCGAATTCAAAGTCGATCTAAAGGCGCAATGGACTCGGAGTACCGGTGAAGTTAAGATCCTCGAGAAGGATGAGGGCATGGAGGTTGATGGACAGTAATTCATGTCCAAGACCGTTCCTTTTCTTCTTTTACCCCAAAAATTTCCTGGGCATTGATTGGAGTTGGGCATAGGCGTTCTTTCGTTGTTTCTCTTTTTATATTCCTCGAAGATCATGAATTCATCCTAGATGTTGTTGGATGAGCGTACGGTGGACATAGATTACCACCGGAAAAGCAATTATGCAGGACATCTTCCATTCAGAGCAGAAAGCTACATGGTGACAAGCATGAATTTATGGAGATAGATTACCGATTCTTACTTGCATACGAGGATTCTGGCATCGACATGGCCGTTAAATATGCCTTACCTGCGTCTCTTACCTGAGCATCCCCGGATCCCAACCAAATTGCACCTAGGAAAATGACGGCTACCTAAAATACATACTTACCCCGTGCAGAGTAACAGAGACCTTAAAAGGGCCGACACAACAAAACAAGATGGAAAACAAGCAGAACAGAGGCGAGACCACGAGATCGTAAGGAGGAAAAGGGGCCATCACGAATAGTGCCTCCAAACCTTGACCCTTCGTAAAGGAAATAGTAACAAGTGAAGCCTTCAGCTGATGAAGATGCCTGGTGACAAGCAGAAAAAGGTGGCACGTCGGTTTGACTGTGCGAGTTATTAATGCTTCCGTGGTCGTAAATGTCGCTGTTGACTTCTGAAGTGACCTTGCCTTACCCATTGCATCAAAGAGGACAAGGGAAGAAAGGAAAGATCAAGCATAGATACCCACCAGCAAACCATGCTGACGCCTGGATGGGGAACTTAATCCAGCAAGGGAGGTTCAGTACCTCCTTTTAGCGCGAGGATCCTCATAGGAATCGTCTTCGTGATGTCTCTTGCGGCCATAATCTTCCCGGCCACCATATCTGTCACGTTCGCGGTCGCGATCACGGTCACGGTAGCGATCCCGATCACGGTCTCTGTGACGGTCACCTTCCCGCTCACGATCATGATCACGCCGGTCTCGCTCTGAGTAGCCCTCTCTGGGCCTGATAGGCTCGCGGTTGCTGCCAGTTACACCTGGGGCCCGGGCATCTCTCTCATACTTTCCACCACCAGCATAGCCGCCTCCAAAGCCAGCATTCCGGCCACCACCGGGACCGGAGGGAGCGTTTGGTGGAGCCTGTCCACCGAAGCCGTTGCGTCCGCCCTGATAACCAATCCCGCCACGAGGTCCAAAGCGATCGCCGCCGCGATACCCTCCTCGAAAACCTCTACCTCCATATCCGCCCCGGAATCCACCACCAAATCCTCCAGGGCCAGAAGGCGCACCGAAAGATCCAGGTCCGGTGGGACGGGAGGGCAAAGCCTTAGTATAGCCACGTCCTCCCAAGCCTCCGCCGAAGCGGCGAGGCTTCCAGCCTTTGACTGTGCGGCCACGTTCCACGTCTACCAAGACACGTCGATCCTTGATTCGAATTCCATCTGTCTCTTTGTAGGCAGCTGAGTCGGGACAAGGATGATCAGGTCAGCAAGGAGTCCAAACTTTTGGGGTCAAGAGAAGTCTCAAAGGTTTCACTATAAATGTGAGTAGCAGTAGTACCTTTCATGTCCTTTTCACGCTCGTACACGATGAAAGCATAGCCCCTGTGTGGCTTCTTGGAGCCCTTCGGCGTGACTGTGTCTTTTACAATGCGGATCTAACAGAAGTTAGCTTTGAAAGACACCTCGACGACAAATAATCTCACTCTTTCAATTGGCCCAAATCTACCGAACTCTCGTTCTAGGTCGGACTCCTTCACGTCGTAGCTCAGTCGAGCAACAAACAGAGTTCTGAAGGGATCGCCCCGAGCTTGAGGATCATTCGAAGGATCATCTACGCAGATGGTTAGCACTAATGAGCGAACGTTCAATCAATCGTCGAGGCTCTTACAGGTTTGAAGGCCTTCAGTCAACTGCCTATTCAGCCTCTCCTTTATCTCGAGCTTCTGACGCCACTTGCGTTGCAGCCAGCTCTCTGTGGCATTGTAAGGAACTTCCTCGCCGTATTTCTTAAGTTCCCCAAGGAAATCTGCAACACCGCCGATGCTACTCTTCTTGACATCTTCGGGTGCGCGATCAATGGGAGGAACGTAACGTAATGGTGGACGAGGCTGGAAGAGCGCCAGGAGGGGAGGGGGGAGTTTGTCCGTCATTTTGACCCCTCAAAGATTTTATTTCAAGCTAGCGACAACTTCTCGATGTGATCTAAAGTCATGAGGGGAAACGATAGTTAATAGTTCAGGTAGGTTCCCTCGGACTCAGATTCTCGCGGCCAGGTTGTTGAGAGTTTCGCGTTCCCCATTAGTTGGCTGGAACCACGGGACTGCAGAAGCGCCAGACGCGCTAAGCGGGATTGCCGCCAGCCAATGGGGAACCACCTTGCTTGCGGTCTTGAAAACTCACCGAACTGTTCCTAGATGACTTGTTAGACACCGACAGCGATCATACAATACATCACAAAATGCCTGTACAAGGCATTAGAACGGTAGCCAAGGCCAGGGTATGATTCAAGCTAGTTGCCAAACAATGATTGCCTCCTTTCAGTGACTGACGTGCTGGGAATACAGAATGGCATGGGCGCCTTCATTCTACAATGCAAACGTTTGGATTTCCACTACTGCGACTGGGCTGGTAGCTCGAGAGGCATGGTGTAAGTCCAGTTATTCGTCTGACTCTATCAATGAATTGAATTAACTTGTTCTGTCATGCAGCGCTTTCCTGAAACACTCTCTACCCTCCTTCGCCAAAGCCAATCCTCAGATCGAAATCCGAGTATCACCACGGCCGCACAAACACCCGGTAATTAAAGGTCACTATATCAACGGACGAGAGAAAGCGATATGCGTTCGGAATATGGAACCTGAACAAATCCTGAAAAAGGCGAATCTGCTCAAGGAAGCCAGCGGCGAGAAGCTCAAGCGCACCAAAAAACCCGTCACCAGTATCAACGAGAGTGTAAGAGGCATCTGGTCCCCGTACCACGGAGATCTCAAGATGGTATGAAGCAGTGTTGGGGGTGTTCAGACTGGTGTTGAGGCTCCATTTTCCAGCCTTTTCTGTGTATAATGTATATCATGGGTTATTTCTGTTCTGGTCCTGTTTTTCCTTGACGACCCCAAGGCCTTTCAATTAGGGGTCATTGCACGGTATGTACAAATTAGATACCTTTCAATGTCAGATTAACAGCAGGTTGCATGAACCGCTGCTATGGACCTTTATCTACTGAGGTAGAATGAATAAATGATATGCCTCATGCCTCGACTATCCAGAAAAAGTCCCTCAAGGGAGGAGAAAATCGCAAATGCCCTCGCGCCCACAGTACACATGCAATGGGGTATCAAAATAGGGAAACCGAAAAAGAACGCTTTAACTCCGCCGGAATACACCACAGATCATCGTTGAACATATGCAGAATACCGGTGATCAAAGGTATATCTGGAACATTGATTTCGGTGCACTGACAGGTTTACCGCAATCAATGACCTGACATTTAGAGAATGGTTTAGTTCTCTGGGGAGTCTTCTTAGCCTTGGAAACAGCACGATTCCTGGCACATTCGCCACAGTATACCTTGAAAAACGTCAGCCAGGTCCCAACATATGATAGGGTCGCACGAACATGTCCACAAGGTTTCGATACCCATATCTGTTGTTTTGTCTCATCCCCTATTCCGAGTTCTTCATCACAATTTGGGCACACGACCAAATCGTCCTCCCCAGCGCTTCTCGTAAATCCTTCGGAGGGAGGACTTGGCGCTTTGTACGAGCTCTGGCGGGAGCCTCTATCTGAAGTCAACCCAGAAGTAGGAT